CAATTAAGTACACACAGCCTTGGGTAGGTGGCCCCAATTAAGTACACACGGCCTTGGGTAGGTGGCCCCAATTAAGTACACACGGCCTTGGGTAGGTGGTCACAATTAAGTACATGGGGCCTTGTTTAGGTGGTCACAATTAAGTACATAGGGCCAAGGTTAGGTGGTCACAATTAAGTACACAAGGCCAAGGGTAGATGGCCTCAATCAAGTACAAAGGGCCTTGGGTAGGTTGTCATTAAGTACATGGCTCCTTGGTTAGGTGCCCCAATTAAGTATGCGGGGCCTTGGTTAGGTGGTCACAATTAAGTACAAAGGGCCTTGGTTAGGTGACCACAATTAAATACATGGGGCCTTGGGTAAGTGGTCACAATTAAGTACATGGGGCCAAGGTTAGGTTGCCACCATTAAGTACATGGCTCCTTGGGTAGGTGGCCACAATTAAGTACTTGGGCCCTTGGTTAGGTGGCCACAATTAAGTACATGGGGCCTTGTTTAGGTGGTCACAATTAAGTACATGGGGCCTTGTTTAGGTGGTCACAATTGAGTACATGGGGCCTTGGTTGGGTGGTCACAATTAAGTACATAAGGCCAAGGTTAGGTGGTCACAATTAAGTACATAGGGCCAAGGTTAGGTGGTCACAATTAAGTACACAGGGTCTTAGTTAGGTGGCCACAATTAAGTACATGGGGCCAAGGTTAGGTGGCCACAATTAAGTACATGGGGCCTTGGTTAGGTGGTCACAATTAAGTACATGGGACCTTGGGTAGGTGGCCACAATTAAGTACATGGGGCCTTGGTTAGGTGGCCACAATTAAGTACATGGGGCCTTGGTTAGGTGGTCACAATTAAGTACATGGGACCTTGGGTAGGTGGCCACAATTAAGTACATGGGGCCTTGGTTAGGTGGCCACAATTAAGTACATGGGGCCTTGGTTAGGTGGACATAATTAAGTACATGGAGCCTTGGTTAGGTGGTCACAATTAAGTACACGGGGCCTTGGTTAGGTGGACATAATTAAGCACATGTGGCCTTAGTTAGGTGGCCACAATTAAGTACATGGGGCCAAGGTTAGGTGGCCACAATTACGTACAAGTGGCCTTGGGTAGGTGGACATAATTAAGCACATGTGGCCTTAGTTAGGTGGCCACAATTACGTACAAGTGGCCTTGGGTAGGTGGTCATAATTAAGTGCACAGAGTCTTGGTTAGGTGGCCACAATTAAGTACATGGGGCCAAGGTTAGGTGGCCACAATTACGTACAAGTGGCCTTAGTTAGGTGGTCATAATTAAGTGCACAGGGCCTTGGTTAGGTGGCCACAATTAAGCACATGTGGCCTTAGTTAGGTGGCCACAATTAAGTACACAGGGTCTTAGTTAGGTGGCCACAATTAAGTACA